TCTACTGTTCTTCTGACTGAATGAGACAATCAGCAGCCTCCAATTAGAGACTTTTTTAGCCCAGAAAATCTGACGTCACTGTGGTTATAAGAAAGTGAGTGTCATCTACAAGGGGGTATATTCAGTTACTGAAAAGCAGCATATTGCAGCCCCAGAAATGCTCAGCTGATGCCTCTAGGTCAGTCCATATCCCAGAAGTCAGAGCAACCTCACTGCTATCACCTGCGGACCCCAAAACTTCCAGGTAAATCAGATCTGCTCCTACTTTGTGCACCAGCAACAGCTGGAGACTGTTTTACCTTGCTTCGCGATGCTGCTTATATGAGAGCTGTGCTTTCCTAGGAGAAAAAAAAAAAAGAAAAGGCTTTGTAACCCATGAAGATGAGAAAAAAATCATAGAATAGAATCATAGAATGGTTTGGGTTGGAAGGGATCTTTAAGACTATCCAGTTCCAACTCCCTGCCATGGGCTGGTTGCCCCCCACCAGCTCAGGCTGCCCCATCCATGCTGGCGTTGAGCACCTCCAGGGATGGGGCAGCACAGCTCTCTGGGCAGCAGTGCCTGGGCCTTTCTACTGTCTGAGTAAAGAACTTGTTTATATCCCATCTAAATCTTCCCTCTTTTGGTTTAAAACTATTTCCCCTTGTCCTATCGCTATGTATCCACGTGAAAAGTTAATTCCTTCCTGTTTATAAACTGCCTTTAAGTATTGGAAAGCCACAGTGAAGTCTCTCAGCCTTCTCTACTCCAGACTGAACAAGTCTGAAATGCCTCTGAAGTTTTGTGAGGAGCTTTCCTTTTTGATTAAGGTTTAGTATAATGCACTAATCAGTATAATACAGTAAAGTGCAATACAATGAACTAAATTTCAGCACTCACCTTACACGACAGATTTGCTAACCTGGCATAGGGAATTTTCCTTGTAACTTCTGTGCATTTCTCTGAACTTGTTAAAATATGCAGGGCGGATCACTCTCATTAGAAACATTTAGGTTGTCTGCCCCTTGTAGCTGTTTCTGCAGCTGGAAAGTTTCAAGGTCTTTGTGTTGCTAAGCACAATTTGTTGACCTTGTATCATAAATCAAAAAGTGGTGGATTTGCAAGAAGATCCCAAACTAGACTTCCTGCTTGCTAGCTACTATTTTGAGGCTCAGTTCACTCAGTATTTAGAATTGTATTTCTGTAGGCCTCAGCGTTTTTTCTCATTTTTAGTGTAGTTATTCTTCATATTTAAAATAGCCATTGAATGTTGTAGATACTGAGGACGCAGCCTAGAAATTTTATAAAACATGGCAAAGTTTATTTGGAAAAGCGAAAGGCTTATTTTGAAAGCAGCTTAATTTTGGAATACAGCGACCATTGACTTTCTGTATACTGGTGATGCAATAAGCAGACAAGGGCTGGTCTTTACATGTAGAACCATGTATTTCACGTGCAAGCATCTACATGCACATTTTATTGTCCTTGAGTGTTGTGTAGAGACTGGGCTGGAAGCAACTCTTTAGCAATGGTGTCAGTTATTCCCAGAGCATTGATAAGAGATGTTTGCTTCTACTGCTTCTAAACCTCTGTGCTAAGGGAGGTTCCACAGGCTTGCAGGTGACTTGTTGCAGTGTACCACTGCCCAGTGAAGGAAGCTCTTCCTAACATCCAACCTACGTTGTCCTCGCTGTAGGTTTATTTCGCTTCCCCTCCTTCTGTACCAATGGCCAGTGATATATTTATCAGTATGTGATTATGACTTCGTGTGTATTTGAAAATAGTTCTATTTGTCATCAGTTACCTCTGTGTTTAGTTTCAGCAAACAGTTGTTGATTTTTCCAACATTTGTGCCTTGCGTGCCTGTTATTTTCACTGTCTCCGTTTACACTGCGTACACTGTCTTGTTTTGTCTACACTTTCCTTTAACAGTAGTGCCCAAAATTAAATTGCAAGATTTTAATAGCACCAGGTTATTAGTGTAATATATTGCTACATCTTACCTCCTCTGCCTCCGTAATTCTATTTCATAGGGCTTTCTGCAGCATCCATGGAGGTTGTTATCCTCTTGTATTGTCTATGTAGTCATTTCTACTTTTCTATATTTTTGGAGTATATGTGTGTATATGTGATTTTTCCTGCCAGGTACTTTGTATTTATTTTAATTGAATTTCATCTTGTTGACTTTGGACAATTGAATCACATTAAGTGAAGACCTAAAGGATTTTGTTAATTTGTAACATAATCTATATTCTGTTGTTAGAATCGTTAATGAAAAGGGATGCAAAACCTTTCAGTTGATCTCAGTTAAAATTCCTTTGTAGCTGAATAATGAACTGCTAACTTTGAGTTTTCTTCTGTATTGTATTTGAGCACCTCTGTGCCCAATTTCCTAATGAACATATGCAACTGCCACAAAGGTGCATTCAGGTACAGATAAATTACACTTCCTCCTTTACTTAAAACATCTGTCAAATAAGAAAATTACAGTGGTTTTAATATATTTGTTGGCAAAGTTGACTGTTTTTTATCATTTTATCTAGATATTTATAAACTTGATGTTTCAAATAATTTATTCTGGTATTACTATGAATATTAGATTTTGCCTGGCTGACGAGCTAGGGCTGCAACCTCAGGAATCGTGCAGATGATACAAAACTGAGAGGAGTGGTCGATGCACCATGTCAACCACCAGGCCAATCTCTTGTGCAGCCATTCAGAGGGACCTGGACAGGCTGGAGAGGTGGCCGGCAGGAGCCCCATGGAGCTCATCTTGGGGGCATCTAGCTGGGAAACAGCTCTACAAGAAAGGACCTGGGGGTCCTGGTGGACACCAAGCTGGGCATGAGCCAGTAATGCACCTTTTGAGTGAAGGAAGGCAGCAGACTCTTGGGCTGCATTAGAAGTGCTGCCAGCAGGTTGAGGGAGTTGGTCCTTCCTTTCTACCCAGCCCTGGTGGGACACTTCTGGAGTGCTGTGATCAGTGCTGGGTTCCCCAGTTTGAGAGGGACATGGATGTACTGGAATGAAGGGACTCGTCATGGTTTTATGATTATGAAAGGTGCTGAAGGATCTCGTATAAGGAGAGGCTGTAAAGACTGGGGTTGTTGAGCCTGTAGAAAAGAGAGCTCAGAGGGAATATTAAGGGTGTGTACTTGTTCATGTGCAAAGTGTAATCAAAAAACTTTAGAAGGAAGAAGATAGGGAAAACAAAAGAGAATATTTAATAAATTGTGTGCATTTAATATACAAACATGCACTGTTTTCTTTTTCCAGGAAACTGATTCTTTGCCATTCTCACTTATTTCTCAATGTCATTGCCTGGGGCTGTCAAAGCCATCAGGGCTTTTTGTCCCTTCTGCCTTGTAGCAATGGCATCCAGACAGTTGATGTTTTTTGTTTGAACGGCTAAATGTGGTTTGAACTTTGGAGGGTTATGGCATATCTTTTTAAGTAAGTCTCAGTAAGTCATGCGCCTGCATTTGCTGGTAGTTTAAAATATTTCACTGTCCTCACTTCACCCAAATGCTTTCATATAGAGTGATTTCAGATGTTCACTTTTATGATGCAGAATTGTGAAATGTGATAGTACTGGGGAAGGAAAAGGAATAAAACAGTGTTACAATATCTTGTCTGACATAATTTGAAGTCATATATCAGAGAGCATTGAGAATGGAAATAGTCTCATTGTAAGATTTTTTTTCTCTGTAGCTCACTATTAACTTAACTTTGCCTATTCATGCTTTCTGATCAGTATCTACATGCAGCATCCTAATCCACTCTTCTACATCTGTTTGTAGCCTTCCAATATGTAATGCCAACATTCCCCTTTTTTCCCACTTACGCTGTCCATATCTTGCTCAAAACCTCTTGAACCCTCGAAAATAAGTGCAAGTATTTTCTAAAATTCTCGTGACTTGTCTGCAAGTTATTTTTCTCTTAACTGCTGGTGTGCCAGAATATTTGTCACAAAACAGTATTTTCTCACTCTCAAGCTCTATCTGGCAATAATATGGATTAAGGCTGGTTATGAATTTAAGGCATGATGTGGTTGTTCCTGACTATGCTGTGTGTACAAACTGTTCTACAGTCAAGACACAACAGCTTGTTGCTGTATCAAGAAGAATGACGATGCTGCCTTAAGGCTTCATCCTCTGTCATCTTCCATACTCCTGGCACTGAGGTCTCTCTCCAATCCTTTGCCTGTGATCCAGCCATCTTTTTATCCAAATTGGCAGAAAACACCATTTTGACTTTGTCTTTTTTTTTCCCTCCCTGGGTTAAAGACGAAGAAAAATACAGTGTTTAAATTTCCATTCTACTGTCTTATTTATTCTTATTTATTCTTAGTCTATTGTTGTTTTAATTATTATTATCTTTATTTATTTATTTTTCTATTTATCATTTAATTCCTTTGCTGTGTCTGCCATCCCACTACCCTATCCTATATTTCTGTTTTTTTTTTTCTGACTTTCACAGGACTGACCCAAAGTCCATTATAAACAAGGGAATCCTTTTGGGGGGATTCAGCTTTCATTCGTGCTGTTGAAGCATATAAATAAAGTGTAACTTTTGTAGGAGCAGTTGTAAAATCTTCGCGATCCAGAACATAAAGGAGAAGCGTGATGGTTGATGCAATAACACTCTTTCTCCTTCTTGTAGGTCCTTTTGTTCTGCATCACATCTGCTCTGTTCATGTTCTTTTTCAGGTATGTTGCTCATATGTCTGTTTATGTTTTTAAAGATTAAGTAGCTGACTCAATTTTCAGTGTTCTTATGAAAACTTGAGTATATTCCTGACTCAAGACTTCTGAGTTGAATGGAGTGCTTCTATGGCATTAAAAGCCCATGGTTGTGAACATAATTGGGCTAAAAATGGAAACACTGAGTTAAATGCTTTAAATCTTCTGGAGATTTCGCTGGTTACTTAAGGAGTCTCTTCTCATTTTGTAATTAACACCCCGGAGATCTAACGTTACATAGTATGAAAACTGCTAAAATGCTGCTTTATTATAAGCTCTCACTGAGCTTACTGCAGGGAAGACAACTTTTTTCTTCTGATGAAGATACTGGAGAATAGGAAGTGGAGATTTTTATAGTCTTAAATAATACCAAATGTTTGATGTGCATGGGGGTACAACTGTTTCGCATTCTTTTTTTCACACATTATCAGCTGTATTCCTTTCTTAAAACACTTAGTAGTGACTCAGATTATGCACTGCTTTTATCACTGTTTTTCTCCCAGTTTGCAAGATACTTGTAATAAATTATTTACCTTTTCAGAGTTTCTTTTTTTAAATACCATGCTCCCCACAATTGCTGTTTTATATCTCTTGTTGGACAATTGCTTGTTAAAGTAACCTTTGACTACAACCCTTTCCCTTGGAATTTTCTATGGCTTGCAGCCATCAGCCATCAGCTTACAGCCATTCTTCAAGCCATATGATCCCCAGATAATTGCAAAACTAGAAATTGCAGCTTGTTTTTTTTTGTAATTCCCTTACTTACAAATTGCTTTCAGATATTGACCAAGAACAGTTTGTGGATAGGGGAAAGCTATTAATTTGAGAGTTTCTGAAAAGCATTCCTCCTTTCATCTACCACCCATGCATCAGGCTGGGTGCAGGCTTCTCGTTGTATTTTGTCCTGCTTCCAGCATTATAGCACAGCAGCCTCTGAAAAGTTTAGAAGTTGGTCAAAAAGTTAGTAGAGTTGAAGTTGGACACCTGTCTGTATGAATGCTGATGAAACAAAAGCTGGGCAAAGGTATAAATACTGTGTGATTATGGAGGAAGCTCCCTGTCTCCTGTTTATATCTTGATAATGAACCAGTTTGAACAGAAAACCTGGAAGCTGAGTGAGAACTGACCAGAGCCCAGAAATATTTGGTGAATTCTTTCCTGACCTGACAATGCAACACTGACAGTTGAATGAATTCCAAGCCACTTTCTCTTCTAAAATTAGTCTCACTGTGCCAGGGGTGACGGATATCCTGTTGAGCAATCATCAGGAACACTTAATTCCTTTGTCTCTCTTGCTATAGCAGAGGAATTAAATTACAGGGCTGGGTGGCTATAGGTCCGTTAATTTGATTCTCAGAAGAAAATAGTGTGTGTGTTTTTTTTTTTTTTAAATAAACACCAACAAAAACTATACGATGGATAAATTGAAGTAGATTTATTTAAAAAACATCAGCATAAATCAGTTCATATTCTTTTTTTCTGAGTTTAATCAGTATTGGGATTAGAACATCCTCACAGAGATTGATGATGTACACTCCCCAAGGAAACCAGAGCCGGAGTCACTGTGTACAAGGTGTGTAGCTGTTGGGTGGGAGTGCATTTCCTTTGAAGAACAGACTTGGAATGAAGGTGGATGCAAAATGGATATGTGATCTGAACAAATAAAAAGCTGGTCAGTTCTGGCAAGGTGGAGGTAATATGCTTGCAAGTGACTATGGGGAATGAAATGGTGAGGCAGCAGTTGCCTGAAAAAATTCCAACTGTAATTGTTGCAAACTTCCAGTGAGTGTAAGTCAACAGTGTCCCGTTCCCATAATAAAGGAAACACTGTCACAGGATGTATAAACAGGATTAGCACTTGGGACGTGTATAAATTTGTCTTTTTGTTGTACTTTAGATTTAAGGTGTTGGCAGTGCTTTTTTTGGTTCTTTTTGATTATCGCACTCCAATAAGAACATGGAATGGTGAGAGAAACTACAGAGTGTGATCTGAGTTGACTGAAAATGATTTATTAAGAAGGATAGATTGAAGTTGTTTAATTAAAAAATAAAAAGGATGGACTAAGTGCTTTCATATCTGTATTGTAAAACTGCTGAAAAGTTGAAGAGAATAACAGTCTGCTGTCTCTGTGACAGAAAGGACGGGACAGAAGAACAGGATATTTACTCTTACAGCAATGGATTGTAGCAGGGATTAATTCATGAAAATAGTGAGGAAGAAAATCCTAAGAAGGAAGCAGAAAAGATCCCCTAGTGAAGTTGAGGGTTGTCTGTCCTTTCAGATCTGCAGGAGCAGATTTTGGATAAATTGGGTAATTTTGCTTAGGGAAAGCAAGGGACCATTTGTCTTCCTCAGTCTCTTCCATGTTTTAATTCACATTAATAGCTGTCATACTGTGAAATATTCAATGTAATAAGCTGTCAAAGCCAGTAAAGCCTTTGGAAGAAGATAACTTTGTGTGCTTTTGTTGAATGCAATCTGAAAGATATGTTCAGGGGGAAGAAAATATTACAGCTCTCTGCTGTAGATACCAGTAAATCTTGTAGAACTTGTGGAGAGATCATTACAGAAGTAGTTTGGAAGATAGTTTAAGATAAATATTATAATGAGACACTGAGAAGCTTCATCACATCAAAGAAGGAAATATCAAAATGAGAAGAATTTGCCTATTCTTCCATGGTGAGCAAGCAATGCAAAAATAATGGTGTGTGGCATCTTAGTAAAGTGAGAAATGTAACTTTTCTAACACACATCAGATTAAACATTTCTTCCACAACTTGTAATCACGGTAATAGAGTAGGAGAAAAACTCCTTCTCAATGAGTACAGACAACGGAAAAGTCAGTAGAGCTGCCCTTGGAGTTGTCCAGTTTGTTTGGACTGTGATTGTGAGATGGTCATTTTATCTAATGTGTGAATTCATCGTGATTGCTTCTGGTAAGATTTTGGACAGTCCTCAGAGGAAGCCCCTCTGGGTCTACTCAGCTTCCTGCCTGGGTTAGATAATCTCCCTGTCTGTTTTGACATGTGAAACAGAAAGGAGTTGGAAGAGTCATTGCAGTGCTTTTCATGTGTTGGGTGGTTCAAAATTATTTCAGCCTTTTTCTAATCACAAACAGATTTCACACAAATAGTGTTAGAATTACAGTGTTTACAGAAAAGTCTCAGAAAGATTTTACTCAAGTTCAGATCTGCTTAGTTTAAGGAGTATTTTCCCATTGCTTGTACAGTGCTCTTTACTGCTCACAAGCAACTATTGACTTGAAAATAGAGTCCTTCTTTGCTCTGTCTCTGAACAACTTGGTGTCCAGGATGTCTTCTTGTCTTTCCCACCCCACTAGAAAGTCCAAAGAGATGCTGAGAACAATAGCAATCTTGATCACCAAGATCATATATAATCCCTTCCATCATTAAAGATAAAATCCTAATATCTAAATGGTGTAACTTGAAGCTTAAAACTTTCTAAAAGGAGACTAAACGTAGGTATGCCTCTATCTATCAGAATATGACTGATTCTTGGCACTCAGATAACAAAAATGAGAATGAAAGCAAAGTAATCGGTATTTTTTTAGTTCATTTGAATAACCTGATCCAAGGTTATTAGGATCTCCAAACTGAGATGTGATGACTGTCACTATCCATCATTCTGGTTGCCTTTCCCATACTGCCACAAGCACTCTTGCAGCTCCACAGGTAACTGAAATAAGGCAGAATTTTGCTCTGTGCAAAATACCTTTTGTTTCCCTTCCATGGCTCATACCATGATGCACATAGCATCAGCACTGTGAGCCAGATGTTGGAAGTGCTTGAGATGAGCAGGGAAAGCAGAAGTGCTCCTTTCAGCATTGGCATGGACTTTCGTCATTTTAAAGTGACTGCATATAGAATCATAGAATCATAAACATTGAAAAAGACCACTAAGATCACCTAGTCCAACCATCAACCCATACCAACCTGAACTAAGGTGATCTTTACTGACCTATAACATGAAATGTTACTTGAATTGCAAAGTTTAAAGCTGCTGTCTGTGTGAAGAATTAAAATATATTCTATACATCAAGACTTCCAAGTTATCCTTTGGGTTGCCTTGTAGTTAACTAACAATTAGATTGCACTTACTTTTTGTTGATTCTGGAAGGCAAACAATCCAGTAGGTCGTTATCCACCAAAAGGGAGCAAAGTCAAGATGTCTCATATTGTAGCATGCTTGTACCTCTGTCCCTTGATGGACTCTGGTTGGAAGTATCACTATAACAGATGTATGAATTGTGGTCCATGGAAGAATAGACAAGTTCTTCTCCATTCATTAGGAGAAGATCCCTTTAATACAGTGAAGTTTATCAGTATCTCATCATAACATTTATCTTAAATTGTTTTCTGTAATGGTTTTTTGGTCAGACAGATCCTGGTCCTCCCAGCCTGTCCTTTTCTGGGTGTTTTACACTGCTTGAAGCTTCACCATGCAGCCCTCATACATACCTCTAGAGTTTCCCCAAATATCTATTGGACTGTTCAAGCATTATTGCATCTACAGCAGGACATCAGGAAAAGTAAGGTGCTAAATCTCAGATTAAAAGAGTTGTAGTAGTACAATTAAAACCAGGAACAATTACACCAGGAACAGATAAAAGTGAGGAAGAAGCCAGAATGAAAAACAAATTCAGCATAGTGATACAGAGCGAAGGGAAGGGAGGGAGATTAGAGAGTAAAAAAAAAAAAAAGATGATGTCAGCAGACTGGACAAAAAATAGAAGAAAAAGAACTGGGAAAAATAGCAGCTGAAATGCAGATGATAGGTTTACAAGCAACGATGTTATATTTACAGGCAGAGGAAGCATATTTTAGTGTCTTATTTTTTTCTTCTTCTCAATCCTCTTTTACAGTATTTTTCTGCTTATACTGACTTTTTGTCTCCAAAATGTCCTTCTTGCTGAAATTATGCTTCATTGATTTGTAGTTAATTGTAG